GTATATTTTATTTTTGGAATATTTTTCCTAAAGAAAATTATACTGCGATGAAAGACAACTAAAAAAATTGATGCTATTCAGCTACTGTAGCAAAACAAAGTTGTCGGCCAAATATACCACTACTTGAACCTCCCCTGTTTTATATTTTCTTAATTTTCAATTAATGGCACCATTTATATGGTCCCCAATAAATACAGTCATTGATTGACGACTGCCTGAAAATGCGACTATTCCACTCATGTGAAAGTATATATATATATATATATATATATATATATATATATATATATATATATATATATATATATATGTACAAAGGTCAGTGTTTCATAATATTGTCTTTCAACTGTCAAGGAATGGCAAAATTCTTCCTTTCGCATTGTAGTGTTGATCTCCTGAGAAATGTCTGAGGAAAAACTTTAATTCACCGAGGGAAAATATGTTTGTAAGGAGTTTGAAAGTCACAGGTGCCCGTGAAAATAACATCTCGTGACTTGAGAAGCGATGGGAGTTTACGAATCACAAAAACAACAAAACAAAATAAACAAAACAAAAAACAAAACAAAACAAAAAAAAAAACAAACAACAAACAGGAGCATTTGTTTGTTTGTGAATGAAGAAATGCAAAACAGCTTGCGAGGTGTGAACTGATGAAAAATATTCTAAGGAAAGAAATGAAACTTTTTACGCAAGAGACAAACAGAATGTTGGAAAGAAAGAACGTGGGAAATGTGAAGGAAAATGAAGGAAAGAAGCGGCGAAGGAAACAAGGAAAGGCAAAGGGAGTGAAAGAAACAAAGAAAGAAAGGAAAAAAAAAGAAAAAGAATGAAAAATCAAGAAAATGAAAGAAAAAAACAATAAGAAATGAAGAAAAATATTGAATAGAAAGAAAGAAAAACAAGGAAAGAAAGGGTGAAAGAAAAACAAAGAATAGAAAGAAAAAGTTATAAGCAATAAAGAAGAAAAACAAAGAAAAGAAAAAGAGAAAGAAAGAAAGATAAAAAGAATAGAAAAAAGAAAATAACAAGGAACACAAAGAAAAAAGAAAGAAATAAAAAAGAAAGAAAGGATGGAAAATAGGAAAGAATGAAATAGGAAGAAATGAAGGAAAGAAAGAAAAAAAACAGAAGGTAAGATGGAAAGAAGCAAGAGAGGAAAACATATAAGGAAGGGAAGAGAAAGAAAGGAAGGAAGCGAATGAAAAGAATGAAGCTACTGGAATGGAGGAAAGCAGGGTAAAAAGAACAGGTAAAGAAAGAAAGAAAGAAAGAAAGAAAGAAAGGAGGGAGGAAGGAAGGAAGGAAGCAAGGAATGAGCGTAGAGTAACGGTGATCAGGCTGATCTTGTAGTTTATTCTGCTAAGTAATGAAATTGATCCTGACTTAGTGCTATATACTTTTGGCTTAGACGACACGAGACTTTGTAAGTAACGAAACGAAATAAGTTCGATTTAGAAAAGGATTACGAATTCATGTGGAAGAAGGAAAAAATCAAAGAAATAATTGAGGGTAATAAATAAATAAATAAATAAAGGGAAATTAAAGTAACATACAGAAAGGAAATAATATTTTTATGGGGGGGGGAGAAGAAATCGAATAGAAAAGTAGAAAAGAAGAACTGAAGAAAGTTGTTGGCATTGGAAAAGAAAGATATTGTTACATTGCAGCTCAGATACCAGATTCGTTGACAGCTCAGATACCAGATTCTTTCAGTCAAACGCGTGTGGCTTAAAAATGACCCCTCTGCTACATCGTTATACTTGAATGAAGAACAAAATTTCTAGCAGAAAACCAGATTTTATTCTTAGGTCGCAAAACGAGCGAAGGCGGGTTGAGGCGTAAGTTATTGGAGAGATGCGCTATTCAGCGTCCGTCGTCTATGCTTTCTTCGTGGCCCGCGTCGTTCCTTCGTTTTTTGTTTTGTTTTTTTTTTTTCGCGCGGGATGGTCATTTTTATAGACAACAGTTTTCTTTGTCTTATCATCTTCGTCTAAAAAATAATTAATCATCATTCCATCAATTTCTCGAATGGGTAGAGTGACGAAGAATCAAAGAGGTTAGGATTTCGCAAATACGAATTGAAGGAAACAAATCCTCGATGAACCTCTAGACAGCCTCTCTGTCCAGATCAATAACTGGACGGATTAAATAACATTTGCACACCTACGTAACTTTACGTGGCTACGCCTTCATCCAGTATGTCGCCTACGCAACTTCTTTCGGCATGCGCGCACGCATGCACGCATTTCCTTCTGCTCAGGATACCCGTGCGCCCTGATTATTCGAGGCTCAGTACACATGTGCCCCCTGTTTATATTAACCTCCGGATGCATTTCCTGATTATGCGATCAACAGTTCCGATTTCTGCTCACACACTGATTCATCAGGAGTAATGACAAAAGGTTTTTCCTCAATCGATATCCAACACTTTGAAGTTAAATGCAATTACTGATAACCACAGGTTGAAAGTAAATGTTCCGTATCGAGTTGTGCGACAGGCCCCGCTGTTTTTAAATTTAACAAGACCTCCCCATGACTCATATTATTATAATGTATCGTGAACTTAGAAAGAATACAAGAACGGAACAAGGAATTGGGGTAAGTGTGAATCTAGTGACGTGAGGAAAATGTCAACTGTAAAGAAGTAAAAAAATAGGAAGGATGGAATAAGAAAATACTGATGTAGGGTAGAAGATGAGATGGAGAGACTCCTGGATGAAAAACAAGACCACTTTCATGGGCTTATCCTGTGCGTTTGGTCTTCGTAGCCTCAGCAAATTTGCATAGTTACTCTCCATTGACGATCAGGACCTTTTAAAGATCGTCAATAAAGACAATACCCTTTTGCATCCCCGACACCCCCAAAAAAACTGGGGTCATACCATTCTCCGCAAATGCAACAACCTTGTCCTTCTTTAGATTTGAGAAGCGGTTTTTCTACTGGATATATTGAGCCGTTATCTCTGGCCCAAGATGATGAACCTGTTAGCGGAGCGGTCATGTTTACACTGTAAAAGCAACAAGAGAACTGGCGTGATCAAGCTCAAACTTCGATTGTTTCATCCTAATAGTACTAACTGTAAGCACTCACGAGCAGAAGGAAAGTGGTGTGACAAACCTAAAGATATATTATGGGGTCAGGACGGATAATTTTTTAAATACCCTGGTATGTAACAATCTAATATATATATATATATATATATATATATATATATATATATATATATATATATATATATAAGCAAATATATGGATATAGATCCGACAGTATGAATAAAAATATACAGAAAAAACAAACAAAAATCTTAATATGCAATTATACTGTATTAATGTTAATATAAAGTCAACGTCAGACGTTTCGGTCTATTTTAGACCATCATCAGGACATTTTCATTAAACATAATTAACATTAGAACATATAAAATTCAACATGAAAAGACGATGGACATAAGAGCACAACTAATCCAAACAGATAACTGAAATTTTTATATAAGATCAGCGTTCCGTTTAAATATGATCACGTTGTCGTCACGTGGGCGATGTTGTGAAAACGTATTCGAAGATGATTTCCAAATATTAAAAAAAGCTCGATTGAACTATTTTATATAAACAGTTAAAGAAATCCCTTCCGTTGATATAGGAATACGCTGAGATCAATAGGTTCTTATATTTTCATACACGCTTGAAGTTTGAAGTCCTCCACGTTACAAAGCAAATCAAAAATGACTTTATATTAACATTAATACAGCATAATTGCATTTGCATATATATATATATATATATATATATATATATATATATATATATATAGGAATTGTTTTGTTCAGTTATTAATGTTGTATAGAATATATATATATATATATATAATAACTAAATATGTACAGAAAACAGAAAAAAATGATTTAATAGAAAAATCCCATTTATCCATTTTAATGGGTGAAAAAAGTATTCATACAATGCAAATTTCAGATTTTAAAACTTTTAAATTGCTTTAATACTCCAGATTATTCAAGTGGAATATTCAAGAATGTTTCAATAATGATATTAGTAGTTAAAAATACAAACAGAACATTCTGTAATTGATATTCGTAAAAGAAGGTTATCATTATGGCAAGAGCTAAAGAACTAACAAATTCGCAAAAAGAACTGATTGTTAAGCTCTGGAAAGAAGGTACGAGTTACAGGAAAATCTCAGACAACCTGAATATTCCATTTACTACCATTATTTCTTTTATTGCAAGGTGGGAAAACTCAAAACTGTTGTAAACCAAGGAAGAACAGGTGTTCCACAGAAGATTTCTTCAAGATCTTCGAGGAAATTAATGCGTTAAATTAAACAAAATCCAATGGTTCCTCATCAAGAGTTTCATGATGATTTGCTTTCATCAGTAATCTTGACAATAAACAATGAAATTCATAGAAACAATCTAAAGTTACGTTCCTTCGGAAAACTCCAATACTATTGAAAAGATACAGAGATGCCAGGTTAAAATTCATTCGGGAACATAAGGATAAGGTAAAATCTTATTGGGAAAGAGTATTATGGACAGACGAAACCAAAATTGAGTTGTTTGGACGTAATTCTAGAAATCATGCATGGTGGAAAGTTGGCGATGCCTTCAAACAAAAGAATAATTCCAACAGTGAAATTTGGTGGAAGCAGTATCTGGGATGTTTTTTCTGCAAAAAGTACTGGCAATATGACAGTAATATATGGTAGAATAAATGCCGCAGCAAACCAAACTATTTTGGAAGCGAATTTAATAATTTCGGTTGAAAATTTTGAAGTTCCTCCTGATTGAATCTTCCAACAAGATAATGATATTAAGCACACTTCAAAATAGAAAAGAAATGGCTTCCTTAAAATAATGTAAATATCCTGAAATAGCCAAGTCAGTCCCCAGATTTAAAACACAATCGAGAATCTGTGGCGTTATTTGAAAATTCAATTTCAATTGATAGCCCCAGCTAACATCACGGACCTGAAGACTACATGCAAAGAAGAATGGAAATACCAACTATAATTTTCAAATCATTAATTGAGAACTAAAGAAGAGGTTGGTTGTATTTTTATTCATTCGGTGGAAATACAATAAATTAAAAATTTCTGTGTACGAATATTTGTTTCACCTCACTGTCTCTCTCTCTCTCTCTCTCTCTCTCTCTCTATATATATATATATATATATATATATATATATATATATATATATATATATATATATATATATATATATATATATATATATATATATATATATATATATATATATATATATATACAAGTATAGGATACGGTACAAGTATACGGTACAAATTCCAGTAACCAACAATTACTATTCTTAAAAGAGTTCTCAATACATTAATCTGAAACTTTTAAAACCATTTATTTTACATTCAACATCATCACTTGATAAGACACCATAGGTGTTGAAACAAAATGGCTATTTTTGTAGTGATTTTATAACATGTTTATGTTATAACATATTCATGTTATAATTTATTTGTCATAATTTTTAAATAAATAATTATATATATACACACACACACACACACACACATATATATATATATATATATTGTGTTTGTGTGTGTGTGTGTGTGTGTGTGTATGTGTAAAACTTTCAGATAGAGTATATCTGTAAAAGAACAATATGAATAAGGCAAAAAGGAAAACTATCTGAGCGTTTGATTTGACAAAGTCGCTCATGGGACGAAAATAAATCGGTTAAGATAAGATTTCTTTAATATATATATATATATATATATATATATATATGTATATATATTGATCATACTACTCTCTCTTTTTTTTTTTTCTTTCTTCTCTCGTATACTGCTTGTTGATGTCAAATCGAATTGATCTTCCGCTGACAAGATTCAGCACGCATCAGATCTATCATAATGTTAAATTCTACGAGAAGACTCATAAACCAGACAGCTTTCCATGAATAATAAACCGTGCTTTAGTGTGTGAATGTAACAAATTTGCATTATTTTATTTTTATATCTTTACTTGAATAGGAAGAACGTTAAAAAGAAAACAATTAAAAATCAATTTATTTTCATTTTAAAAGACAATTAAAAAAACGACCATAGCCAAGAGATTTACACTCTAAATATTTTAGAAGAAATGCGTCAGAAGATGCTGAGGCATTAATTTACTGTTCTTCTACATGTCATGTGCAGTTTGTCAGTAAAATTATGTTAGCTGTGCTTTATTTGTTAGAAAATACTAATTGTTTTATAAAACTTTCGACATTGATTGTATGATATATATATATATATATGAAGAGAGAGTAAGATGGAGAAACTGTTCATATATGTTATATTTGACGTACCTATTCTATTATTAATAGATCCTCCCACACATAATAAGTAGTAGTAGTAGTAGCAGCGGTCGACAGTTGGGCTCAGTGGTGTTGAGTGAGTGAGTCGATGTCGGACATTGAAGTATCAACCATCACAACTAGATTGCTGCGTCATTAACTACTATTGCAAGTTTCTAACGTTTTGTACGTCGGACTCTTTTAGGACAGACTTAGTGAAATACAAGCCTCCACTGTGAAAACTACTCTACAACAATATATATATATATATATATATATATATATATATATATATATATATATATATATATATATATATATATATATATAATTCCAGTCGAATCCATTACATTCACTTACGTGCTAATACCCTTGGGAAAGGTGTGAATCCTCCTCTTCTCCCCTCCAGCTATGGGTAAATAGCGGGACAGACCGGGATCTATAGCCTTGGATGGCAACTGGTCTAGAAGGACAATTCTGAATTCAAAACCTGCGCAGGGTCGTTTGGTGACCTTGTGGCACTTAGTGCACCAAGTCTCTGAATTCGGCCCTTCAAAAGGTGTGGCTCGTCTTGCACGAAACCTTCACCACTATAATCAAATCTTATGTGCTGTTGTCGGGCTGTCGGTTCCCTGGGAACTGATCTGCTTGACCTTCATACGTAGAATTCGACGGGAGAGTCGACTATATATATATATATATATATATATATATATTCAGTCAGTTACGTGCCATGCGTGATACACGCTTAGGCGATCATGTATTTTTCGATACATGACTTAGAAGGCATATTTTTTCCCGCAATAGGTTGCCATTTCTTTCTGTTGTAGACCAGTTGCCATCCAATGCTATAGAACCCAGTCTGTCCTGCTATTTGCCCATAGTTGGAGGAAGAAGAAGAGGATTCATACCTTTCTCAAGAGTATTAGCACGTAAATGAATGTAACGGACTCGACTGGAATTCGAACTCGGCTCTCCGATTCCTCAGTCCGAGCCGCTATCCATTTCTCCATCGTAAACCATAAAGTTCCTGGTCTGCTAGGTGATGATGTAACGTCACTAGTTTGGTTTTCTAGGGATTGAATGTGAAAATACCGTTTTAGAGAGTTGATCTTCCGGCGCTGAACCCGCACTGGGCCTCGGGATAGACATTCTCGGCGAGAGACTGCAACCTAGTCAACACCACCTTAACAAAGGCTTTCCCCACAACACTGAAAAGGGAGATTCTACGGTACTTGTTGTAGTCACTGCGGTATCCCTTATTCTTATACAGCGTGATTATGCCGGTGTCCCGCATATATTGGGGGACTGTGCCCTCCTCCCAACATTGCAACAGTAAACCGTGCAAGTAGACGAGAAGAGCACTGGTCCTGCCGGCCTTAATTATCTCTTGAGGGATACCATAGCTGCCTGACGCTTTACCGCAGGACAATTGATAGCCTTGCCAAACTCTTCAACAGAGGGTGGGGCATTCAGCTCATCCATGATGGGGAGTGAGGGTGTGAATTCAAATGCTGTCTCAGTGACAACGTTTTTCGTTTAATCAAGCTCTTGGCAGTGATCAGTTTACCGCAGTCAGTTATGTTACAGCCAGAGGCAGATTTGGAGGCGCCATCTTGGTAGTATTGGGGCCAAACGCTCTCTTTAGCCCTTCAAACATACCACGGACGTTGCCACAGTTAGCACAGATGTGGATACTCTGACACAGATTCAGCCAGTAGTCATTGGCGCATTTGTGAGCAAAACCCGCTTAGAATCATTCTTTGGTCTTCTTCAGGGCGAGGAATGTCGGCACTGAGGGCTTCTGTTTGAAATTCAGAAGGTATTTCTGTCTAGCTGCAACTACTGGTTCCATTTGGTGTATGTATGCTTTGAACCAGTCGGGGCTTTCGCCACACCGTATTGCCATCGCAGCGCTCTATCTAGAGTATCAACATGGTAAGGGTAGAAATCCCAGGTCTGTGAGTGAGTTTCATCGACACGATGAAACAGGCCACGTGATCGTTCGACTGTTGAGACCGGTAGATCGCCCTTGGCCATAAGGTGAGGGCTTGACTATTTGGCCATAACTGCCACCCTAACAAGGACTACAATCCCAATTAAGTGGTAGTTACACGCTCCTCAAAATCTCCCGATCAGATGTCTTGCTGCCGGATGTAGTTTATCGTCATAGACCGAATTACACACACACACACACACACACACACACACACACACACACACACACACGAAAAAAGAAAATCCACAGAATAAAGAACTATAATGTATGAAAATGTTCAATGCAAAAGCAGTGGGTTGACAAGTATAGCTGAGCTCTATGGAAGAAAGACACAGTTGTGCATGCTGTGGAATCGTCGGGGTATTATTCATTTAGAATTCTTAAAACACAATGAAAGATTAAATGCACATTTATACGTCCATCAGCCGCAATCTGTCTATAAAAGTTTCATCTTCAAAGGGAAACTCAATTTTTCTCCCCTATGAGAAAGTAAAGCCACATACAGGAAGAACACGGAACAAAAAAGTCGGGGAATTGGATGGTCGTCTCTGCCGCATTTATCTGGCCTTCCACCAACCGATATATTACATATTTCGATGGCTGAGAAACGCTTTCTCTGAAGAAAACCAAATTCAAGCGTTCTTTCAGAAAATTTTCGCATGAAAAACCAGTAGAATTTTACTCGAAGTGTATCAAAGAGTTGCCTGAAAGTGAAAAGTCATGGCATATATGATGGTATATATATATATATATATATATATATATATATATATATATATATATATATATATTTGGTTGGATAGATGTGAGTTTGTGACCCTGGGTTTCACGCTTTAGCGATCGTCAGCGCTTTCTAATAAGTACCGTGCATATAATATAAATAATTATACATACTTATATTTATTTATATTTATATACACTTTTCATATATATATATATATATATATATATATATATATATATATATATATATATATATATACAGTGCATTCGGAATTCTGTTGAGGTTTCTTCTAGACTCGATGAATTACTTAATTATAATTATCTCAAATCCTCCTAATAATTTCTATCACTTCTATATCCTTGCTTGAACTGGCTTTAAATGCTCTGGATGGAGCGGCTTGGTGATAGTAGTCGTGGCTCGTGGGGGCACAATCCTACGGATAAAAAGAAACTCGGATGAGTTCCTTCAAGGAATATGTTTTCGAGCGGCCCTATATCAAGTCTAATTCGTTACTTCTTCGTTACCGAAGCCCATTTGTATAGTTAATATTGCGTTTACCTGATAACGTAGCTGTCCGGGTTTCAAGTCTCGGTAGCTGGTGCGCACTTCAGATGAGTCCCAAATATAGGGCGAAGCGGCAGTCCAGTGCTTTTTGTTGAGGTTTCTTCTAGAATTGATGAATTAATATATATATATTTATGAATAAAAATGACAATAGGAAAACTAGTAATTGCCGACGCGTTTCGTCCAATGTGAACTTTATCAAAGCAAAATACGAAATGAATTTAATTGAACAAGGTAACAAATAAAAACAAAAAGCAGAATGTTCCTAGCAACTGGAATGTAGAGAAACGCTATTTTCATATTGTTAACTGAAAAATAACGTCAGTATATGTCAGGTGTGGAGAATATTGTCATTATCTGTGTTGATGAATTCAACCATTTTCTTTTGATTTTATGAATCTGTTCTGTACATTTGTTTGTGAGAGCAGTAATATTTGTTAATAAAGGTGAAATGGGGAAGAAACCTGGGCATAGATTAATATTTGGGTAATATTCTATTTTTCCACATTCGAAGAAACGTCTCAGCAATTACTAGTTTTCCTATTGTCATTTTTATTCATAAATATTGTCTTCTCTACTGGTTAAATCGGAGAAATTTTCATGTGCATATATATATATATATATATATATATATATATATATATATATATATATATATATCTCAAAAAATGTGTGTATGTGATCGGATGTTGTTTATGTGTTTTCATCCGATTTTAATGAATTTTTTTTTTGTTTGTTAGATAATTCTTCAATGCCGGTTTTAAGTCCAAATTGTTGGCGACAATGTCTCTCCACTACTTCCTGTTCATTAAGCTCTCACCAACGTTTTACTATCTGTTCTGGGATATATATCTTTCATATAAACTTTAATAAAAATAAATAGTTTAAATTATTACAATAATATTATCTATAATTCTCAAAATGTGTGCTTATGTAGGTTTGTGTGCATGTCTGCATGTGATCGGATATGGCTTATGCGTTTTTACAGTTTTCATCCGAACGCTTCTGTGCACCATGTTGAAAATGATGAGCAAACGAGTCAACGGCTGAGGAGAAACACCACTTCAACATCTGCTGCGCGTGAGGCTGAAACAAGATGGAGAACTCAAAACTAACCTTTTAAAAGCCCCCCCCCCATTCATATTGTTAACTCCCCTCATTTGGGGATGTGCCTCAGTTGCACCCAAATGTTGTTACTAATATTGATTTTCGGGTGGGTTGAATTTAAGCTTAAACTGCTCCAAATGATCCCCAGTTATAAAAGACCCGGTCAAAGACGGGTTATACTGCTAGTATATATATATAAATGAATACAATGCAATCGGGCTTTATTTTTTGAGGAATGAAGTTGATAAACAAAAACAGAGGTTATTTATGACAATCTAATCTTTTTCTGCGTCTTCTAAGGTTTCGGGTGAATGAGACATATTGTAATTTTCAGGTTCGTCTTATAAAATTAGCCGAGTTTCGGATTAAACATTCAATGCGATCAGCATTCAATGTCTTTGGATATTCTTATTTGTCCTATCCTATTTAACAAAATGGATGAACGTGGATTAGAACCCAATGTTCCCGTCCATTATAGATAAAGGAAAATTATTTTTCTTCTGTTTCAAATCTGTCACAAATGCTACGAAAATCTTTTTTTATTGGTCTATATTCACACAGATATTACATTTTACTCGGATAAAAGATTTACAACTTATTTGTCGCAAGGAATAGAATAAGATAATATAAATTATATTTGACTATCAGTAAAACCTGTCTTCGATCAAATTACTGGGAATATTTGCCGCTCAGTTGTAGCAGTTTAAGTTTAAAATCAGACCACCCTAAACTCAGTATTAGTAACAACATTTTGGTGCAAGTGAAGCATATCCCAAAATGAGGGGGTTAACAATTTGAATGGGTGGGGGAGTGACCCTAAAAAGGGAACTGTATAATAATAGATAATATTATTGTAATAATTTAAACTATTTTTATTAAAGTTTTTTATGAAAGATATATATCCAACGACAGATAGTAAATAGTAAAACGTTGCTGAGAGTTATAATGGACAGGAAGTAGTGGAGAGCCATTGTCGCCAACAATTTGGACTCAAAACCGGCACTGAAGAATTATCTATGTAACAAAAAAAAAAATTCGTGGAAATCTGATGAAAACTGCATAAACAACATCCAAACACACACACACACACACACACACACACACACACACACACACACACACACGCACTCACACACACATACGCACACGCACACACACATACACACACACGAATATACATATACATTTTGGGATTTATAGATATAGAAAACATAAGCGCCTGCACAAATCTTGTCTGAGACGAAAAGCTAAATAAAAGAATTCAATGTTCATTTTTTATATAAAGATTATAGCTGCAGAGCGATTGACTGACTTAAAATCAGCAAGGAAATAAATATTCAAATATCCAATATAATTTTCTTAATAGAATCTATTAAAAGAAAACAGCGTTCGTGCTTGCTTCCTCTCCCGAGGTCAATGTACTAATGATGATCGGGGCTAGGCTGGTAATTTAGTTATTTATAGTTGGGATAAGATGGCACTTCAAGGTGGTGTAATGGTAAGCAAGATTCTCTTGCTAGAGAAATTACGACTGAATCGTGTGTTCGATACTCACTGGATTGCTCCATACTTTCGGCCTTATGCCACATCTAAGCCATGCTTAGAAAAACACCATAGTTGGCATAAGAATTATCTTGAAAAATAGCAGGTGTTTCAAGAAATACGACTCGATAAACCTTTCCAAAACAAAGATAATTATCTAGAGTTGGAATGAAAGCAGTGGCGAACGCGTGTCAGTAGAGACGCCAAAAGTGGCCTTGGATCGCACACGCACATGT